GACACAAATAAGAAGGTGAAGTGCAAGATGTATGCCGGGGATTTGTGTTTAAAGCTTTTGCTTTGACTTAAAAGAATTTTAAAATATTAACTAATCAACACTACACACTCAAAGTTTGATATATGCACATCAAAGTTTCAGTGGAAAAATCACATTACAACAGTTTGCTACAGCCATTGAATGATCATTTATAGATGCATGCTCACATCCCAGCTGTGCAAACATTCAAACGCTTCATTTGGAGACCATTAGTCTTGGAGAAAAAAGAGTTATCACCCCTATTTCATTTGTGCATGGCATTCTCAGAATAGATGGTACCTAATGCTGCACCTGCCAATAGTGCCATAAGAGCCAAGAGAATTTCTGCATCTCGTACACAAGCTGTTCATCCTCTGAGAATTTTGTAGACATTTAGCTCTCCTTTTCCCTTGCTGTTGCCTTATGTTTCTCATTTCTCCCTTCTTCGCCAGACATCATTTTCCAAATCCTATTCTTTTTAGAGTCCTTGAAATCTTGTTTCAAATTTTTGACTCCTGCAGTGGCATAAGATCATTAAAAAACATTATGTTAGTTATCACCTCAAAGAAAGGTGTATCTCTACCTTGCCTGATTTACCTGAGATAAAAGAGACTCCATCTCACAGCACAAACTTCCCTCAGTCCTGATTCCTCCTTTCATCAGAAAAGACAATTTCCAGATAAAACCAACAGGGTAAGTTTCACCGTTCTTGTACTGCATGATACCACCAAAGCAAGCACAGATGGTGTTCCTCCTGAGCCAGAGGTCTTCTCTGCTTTTCATTTAGTCCTCTTGGCACAGAATTTGCACATTCACCAATTTCAAAATTCCTCCTTATCTTCCCTGTACAGAAGTATCAATAGATAACTTTGTGAGTTAAAGTTTCTCCTCCCACTTGTCCCAGTCAAAGTACTCATCAAGGCATTTCTTGTCTCTATCCCATTGATACAGAAGAAGATGGTATGCCCGTGCCCCCTTTATAAATTGTTTTCATTTCGTTATTCCCAACTCTGCTGGGTGTGGCACATGCCCCCATTTATCTGCAAACATCTACCACTATCTTAGCTGACATCTTGTCAGAGCCTATTTTTCCTTTTCACACCTAACTCCAAATTTGTTTGTGTGACAGCTTCAGAGAAACCCTGATGACCTCACAAACAGGCTGTCATAGGATGTAAGAAATCAGAGGGTTTAGAAGAGGGACTGTACTCTCTCTCCATTTTTACTTTAGATTAAGAACTACTGGCAGTCTTCTAGCCCTTTATATTCCCTTGCAGTTTAGTTGCTTAAGATGCCTTTGGGTATCCCTTTCCTGAGATATTTTCTTATTTAATGTCTGTGATGGATTGAAGGAGCTTAATCCAGCTGCATAAATACAGCTATTTAGTGGCATTTGAGATATCATAAGGGCAACCAAGAAACCTCTGGGAGTCGCAGAATGTGAAACAAGACCTATGGGAAACACATGCCTTTCTGAATTGGTAGGCGGAGCCATACAGGATACCTGTGGGCTTTTTCATTTTCATTCAGCTAACTGAATTGATTGTCAAGTCACACATTCCATGAACAGCACCGCTTCAGACTGGCAAGATTTCCAAGCTTTAAGTTCTGAAAGGGACAATTTGCTCTTTGGTCACTACCCCTGGGAAGACTAAGATAGTGTTTGAACCATAAGGTATGCGAGTCAATCATCAGCTCGAACCCCATTTCCTTCTCCAACACCTTTTGCCTTCTGACAGTCTTTTGGCCAAGAACAAGAAAGGTCCTATCTTTCTGTTTCTTCTGGCTCCCCCAAGTCTAGGGCCCTTCCTTACAGCTGGCAGGAGGTGGTTTCTCTCACAGCCTGAAGGACCATATATCAAACAAGTCCTTAGGACAGAGGAAGGGGGCTTGATGCTAAAAAAGGAATAAGCAGTCAGTACAAGCCCCTGAATGGCTGGTTTAGCAGTAATCTCATCCTTGCTGCAGAGGGGAGACTGGCTTGCTTTTCTTATGTATTTTCACGGTGTGATCACCCTTCTCATGGAAAGTACCTTCCATTTGCAGAAGATGAAGGTCATTATCATTACAAAGCACTCTCCTTACTGCAGCTCCGAGATATTTGCCTGACTGTGGAAAATGACTGAGGAGGATTCTCACAACATAGCCATAAAATTTGTTTATAGACACTTTCCTGATAAAATTCTGAATATCCCTCAGATAAAGAGGCTCAAATTAAATAAAAATCTCCTTTAGTGACAGACACCTCTAGCATTGGTTTATGTGCTTACATACCATCATCCTACTGCCCTGCACTTGCTCAAAACCTTTCATGTGATGCCAGTCACTAGGAAAAGACTAGCTACTCTTCAATCTTGTTTGAATATAATGCTCTGTAACGAGAAACACATCAGCAGATGTTTTAAAGAAACTGGGGGAGAAAGACAAATGCTGCACCTGGAAGCAATGCCCTGCATGGGAGGCCGAGTATGCTCGAGCTGCTTTTGAAGGAAGAATGACTGCTTGGAAGGTAATGGGGCTTGGGCAGACATCATCTGGCTTAAAACATCACAGGAAGCTTGTCCTGGCAAGCAGCTGGATTTTCACATGAAAAAAGTCAAAAGATTGGTTAAGGGTTTTATTAGTACTAATAACTTTATTACTCTTCTCATATAAAAATAAATGCCAGGTATAACAGTGAGACATTTGCTATCAGTAAATAATCTTTTTATCAGTTTCGTGCCATTAACAATCCATGACTACACTGACACAAAGCACACACGACAGTGAGAGCTTATGACTGCTCAGAAACTAAAGCTCGATGTAGAAGTCAGCTGTGTGATTGGTAAGTAGGTCATCTGTTGGGAACAGATGTGCTCTCTCATCTGCATAGCTCTGCCAGTCAGCTTTGACCTGTAATGCTCTCAATGTCCTACTCTGCCTATCTAAAGGAGAGTGTAGCGACCCAAAGGGACTAGGAATCCTTCACTAAATATTCTCCAAAGGTCTTCTTAACCTGGAATTCATTTCCCTCCATTTTACCTCAATTAATTTTGAAGTGTTGGCTTCTAGTTCACACAAGGCTGATTCATTCTTCCAGTCTTGGAAAAGGGATGAAGACAAGGGCATCTGGCTAATGATAATTTGCATATAATTTGGGTTTGCCTGTGGTATTGGCTTCTAGATCAAATATTTATTTTTTCAGACTAAGACACTTTAACGGTTTATATTTTTCATAGAGTAATTAGTGCCAAGGATTGGCAGGAAAGTGCCTTTATGTGTGTTCCTAAATATACAGAATGAAAACCCCCACTGCTTTTGTTAAAAATAATATTAAACATTTGTTCAGCTTTGCACATATGTAGTGACATAATTTAGGATCTCGGAGTCAGATATCACTGCTTTCAATGTAGAAACATATTTAAAACTAAGGAAGTTATGATTCCCTCAAAATTATGGAGTACATTCTTAGTCCTTAATAGGGCCCACAAGTGTTGATTCTTGCATTTTCATTTGAATTATATATATATATATATATATATATATATATATATGTTCAGGATACAGGGAAAATGAGAGAAAGAAAGAAAGAAAGAAAGAAAAGTTGTTTAGGGACACTCAGCGTCCTCTCACTACCTTTAAATTTAACCCTTAATTTGCTTACAACACTCAGGCTAGCAGAAAAGGCCTAGGCCTTAGAAGAGATGCAATGTTTGTCCTTAATTTCTAAAGCAAACAAGGGTAACCAGTGATAGCCTCGGGCAATGCAGTTAAAGAGAATGGCGATTCCTGGTCTGCAGAAACACAGCACGGTGCGGTTACACCTCTACAGATAAATGAAATTTAGCATGCAGTCCCTACAGGATCACTCCAAAGCCCTTCTCAACGAGCTCATAAGACAGAAGAGATCCACATGTGCCCCTTCCAAGCTTTAGCAGATAAAGGATGGCTAACTCTTACTGTGCACACAAAACCAGCAGCTTATAATTTCTTCTTTACTGAGTGCGAGACTATTTATTGTTTTTCACCAAAGTCACAGGTTTCTTACTTCACACACGCTGCAAACCCTTCAACTAAAGCAGGCAAGAAGGGAAGTGTTTATTCCTGAGCATATTAACCCACAAGGAATAAACAGAAATTACAGAAATTTCTAAAAACCAACCCAAACGTGTATTTGCATTTTGTATAGGAAACTAAAGCTACCTTCAATCACAAGGGCAATATATGCAGAAATGCATCCAATAAATCACTCTTGTTCCCCTAAACACAGGAACTGGTAAGCAGCAGGATGGACGTGGATAAACTAAAGATAAGTATCTACTTATATATCTTCTTTATCACAATTATTTAAATTATACCATGTTTTAATTGCAGCACAAAGAAGTCTGTGCAGCATTGGCAAAGCATAGCTGGAACCTTAATATATTTATGAAAGTGTATAAATTAATTAATATGCTTCAGATACTTACTGGACAGTGATAACTCTCTGAATTCTCCAACTAAAGGAATACACAGCAACTGCATACATAGATTTGTAAACATTCATAGGAATTTTAATCACACATCAACACGAACAGATTTTATATAACAAAGTGCATGTGACAGTAGGATTTTTGATACCAGCTCAAATATCTGTTTGCATTCTTATTTGTACAGATCCTTCAGCTAGTAGACATAATTCTCTATTGTTTTTCACTTTAATTGGAGGTATATAATCAAAAGCTCAATAGAAATACTGCATTTAAAAAAACAGAGAGTATTTTCAGTCCAGTTTACAACTCTAAATGTCAACAAATGTGCAAGGCCTCCAGTATCAGGTTGAGTTCTGTTGTTGATACCTAGTTTTCCAGAAATGGAAAAAAGTCAAGGGTCTGGCAATATGACAAGCTCTATACAAATGAGTTTAAATGGGATGAGATCAGTTCTCCCCTTTACTGGCTGGTGGCCTTATTGTCAACGGAGGAGCTGAAAGACTGAACTCGGTTAAGCACCAAAAATCTTACCTCTACCTGCACCTGGACATCATCAGGTTTATTTTCACCAAATGAAGATTTTCTGCTCTGTCCTCTCCTGTGGCCAAATTTGCATTTGTTCCTCAGGACTTGCTCATCATCTTCAATGGGTCTCCGTATGTATTTGAAACGATCTTTAAGGGCCCGTTTCCACAGCAACTACATAGGGGTAAAAAACAGCTGTCATTACAAGTATCTGTCAAGAATTTGCCCCAGCCTAAAGCAGGTCACTTTGTTTTACCTAACTCTACAAAAAAGTGTTTGCCATTAAGCAGAAAAAGGCTCTTAGGGCAGTACCACCTTGGTTTCAGGATGGGAGGAAACAAAAGCACCTGTGGTAAATGTCTCCATGTCAACCAACAGCTGGGAGGATGGCACTGCTGTGCCTTGCTGAGGATAACAGCAATTGAATCTAAGAGTTAGATCTATCCTAGGCTACCAGTGAAACTGCAGCGTTGTCCCTTCCTCAGCTCCTCCTTTATGCATTCATGGCATTGGTTGTGAAACTACAGAGTGAAGCAGATTAACTTGCAGATGCCACAGAAACTGTACTGTGGGGTTTTGGTGATTTGTTTTTGAGGGGTTTTTTTTGGTTTAGTATATTGTTTTTCCTTTGCCTTTGGCAGAATCTGACTGGTTGCAGAGTTGTATGATTATTATGTCTAACAGAAAGGAGTGGGAAAGACACAGCGTGTCACTACCTTTTGCTGAGAGCCTACAGGTATACTGGATCAAATATTTTTAAACTGAACTCAAAACTGCTGAATTAAGAGAATCATTTAAGTAGATCCTAGCACTTGTAAGATACCTCAAGGTATGTAAAGTGCAACTTAAAGGCATTTTTGCACTGCAAGCAGATGCAGATCCTGTTTAATGCAGCAATTCATCACTCCTTGACAGTCAAAAACAGAGCTCACGTGGCCCCAGTGCTTCTGTCACCCTCGTGTATTTCTTTATTCAGTTTTTGAAAAGTCACTGCTGAAAGTTGTATGGATGGCAACTTCCCCATGCATCCTTAAGGACCAATGGCCATTTGCATGTGGCCCAGAGCTGGATGGCCCTTGGCAAGAACTAGCCATGCCATACCATTGACACCCCAGGAAGCAATTTCTAAGCCAAGGCTGCTCAACACATCTGCAGGTACAACCTGCAACAGTTTTGTCATTCCTCAAAATCACTTTTGTATTCCAGTTATTGAGGAGTATTCAAGAGTCAGAGGGGGGGGAAAAAAATCAGTCAGAAAATGACTGTAAATGAAAGGATGTGGAGAGATTCAAATATCTGTTACTTCCTTTTCTAAAACTGACTCTAATACAAAATAGAAGAGTGATTACCCTAAATTTCTTACCAACCAAAATAGTGCCATTTATTAGTGAAGGTCACATGATTCGAAAGGTTAATTTTGGTGTAAACCAGAATTCAATAGAAGTAGACTAAGTAGTACAGTATCCCTCTTTGCAGTGAGTCTGACATGCCTGCCTTTCTCACTGACAGGATACAGATGAGAGGGTTTCTTAAGAGATGGTGGTGAAGGCAGCGTGACCTTGCATTTCTCCTGCTGAGCTTATTGTTCCCACCTTCTAGCTGACCTACAGGCCCCAAATCCTAAAAGCAAGACCTCCATTAAAGGTGAAAAATTACAGCAGAAGAGCTGTGAGACTACAATCCCTGTGGTCTCTACTTTAGCTCTTCTTGAGTAGCCCTTGACCGACCAGGGCAGGAGTGCCTGTCCTAGGGAGACACTCTGCCACCCACCAATGTGTGCCTAAAGTATCTTTTCACTGCCAGTCACAGCTCAACATCCAAGAACTGGAAAGGAAACAAGCCCATCTGCATTTCTAGTATGCAACCTTCAGGCTTAGGGTTCTGCTAGAACAGAAGTCTCATCACAAACTCAGCCTAAAGAAAAGGACAAAAATAGAGTACAACTGCTCACCCAGCCTTCTCACAAGGCATAGTCACAGCCTCAAGATGAGTATTACACCTCAGCACCATTTTCAGAAGCAGAAAGGTGACTACATGCCTTGAAAATCCCACTCGTTGTTCACCTGAACCATTGAGGTCCCAACATACATTTATAGTTCTGGCCTTACACATTTTGATGCAAAACCCCATCATTATATGCCTAGCAAAATTTATGCCCAGCTTGCTATTTTAAGGCTGCTAAGAAAAGCAAACAAAAACCTTAGTTTAATGCTTCTCTGAAGTGTTTAACAGATGTTATAATATTTTAAAACACGATCATCCCAGAATATATTAGCAGATGACAATTTAAGCATCCCTGTAGTTGAGCTTCACACAGTTTCTTTCTTTTGAAAGTCTTTATTTGGCTAGAAAATATTTTTGCTTATTCTTTCACATGAAAGAATATGCTGACACCTATACAAGGCTTTAAATACCCCACAAAGTTCAAAACTTTCAGCTGTTTCATCCTCCGGGTGCCTAAATAAATTAAGAAATTGAATTAAATCTATTTCTGTAATAGGATTGCCATAAACTTAGGCAAGTCCCTTCTCACATACCTATTTTCAGAATGTGACTGCAAGCAGATACATTTATGTGGTTTCCCTTGTGGGCAATGCATCCTTTTAAAAGGATGTTTTTGTTACTATTTTTGAACCAACAACTTTATTTTCTTATAATTTTCCTGCTCTCCCCAGCTTCCCCCAAACACCACCTCAGGAAGGTTTACTTTCCTGGTAAAGGACTAGAAGGATTAGCCCGTGTCTATCTGACATAGGAGGGAAAGGATTACACGCAGATTAAAAGCAGTATTTTACTAGCAAATAATCACTTTGTGTGCAGCAGTTACATAAATCGGGCATGTCAACAGCAGCATCCTGGGTTTCACAGGCAGCACTTGACAGCCACGAGCTCAAGGCAGCTGCTTATGCAAAGCCACTGGCAAGTGGCCTGGAGGAGAGAGCCCTCTCTCCCTTCCTCGTGTCATGTTTCCTTGGAACCATACGATTTTCAGAAGGGTGGGTGAAATGAAATGGAATAAGGGAAATGATTCTTTCCAAATTGCTTGGTTTCGGCTTTGTAAAATGTACAAACACAGATAGAGAGAATATCTTGCAAATCATCAAGAAACAATGTCATACCAATTTGTTTTTGACTGCTGTGTTTATGACCTTTGCTTTTTCTGTACAAGCTATTTGTCTGTAACTTAGAAAAACTGTACTGGCTGCAATATACACCACAAATCTAATAAACTGTTCCACGATTAAATGAAGAATTTCTTTTTTTTAAATGTCATGTTAGTTTAGGATAGCATTGTTCTGTAAGTAGAAGGAAATACCATGGGAAAGTTTGCTTACGTAGTCACTTTAAAGCACTCTTACTAAAAATTAATCTTGGAATTAATTTCACTCCAAGTACCCCACAGACTTCTTAAATGAGTTTTATTATAAGTAGAAAAATTTAAAAAAAATCATTTAGAATTTTAGATAATTCTTAATCCCTGCTTCTAGACTGACCTCATAAGTAACATTCTTTTAAAACTCATAGTACATAAGTGGCTTTATTCATTACTTTATTTCTAAATGAATTTATTTAGGATCATAATCATTGTCCTAACTATATTTAATTGGATATAGTTTGAAAAAGGACTGGTGGCACAGAAGTATATTTTTTTCCATACTACAAAATTAAATGGGAAAATTTTTAACCAAAAAGTCAGAATTGTGAATAATCTACTAATAAATCTTGAAACTACAGACTTTTGATGACCTCTCATTGCAACAGTATGAGATCGAAAGTATTAGACTATAGTTCTATATGAGACATACATTGTTTAAATTATTTGTTTAAAATAATTTGGAAGTGTAAATAAGTATTTTGGGAAACAAAAGACCAGAATTTCAGAAACAAACCCCACAAACAAAAAAAAAAAAAAAAGAATGTTCCAAGTTTTACAAGTAATTTTTTTCCTGTCATGAAGATTCTGGAGCAAAAGTGAGCTTCAGTACACCAGAGGGAATGTAAAACTTGGTACTCCAAACTGCACTCAGCCCTTTTGGTTTTTAAAATGCAACAATTTATTTTTCCTACAGCTGTGAAAATAAATTGTAAGTCCAGTAATTGAAATAAATAGACCCCAATAATTTTATTGCTCTACCACTCCTGGAAACCCTTATTCTCAGAGGCCAGCCCTGCTGAATTGCCATGTTTGGTGTGTCCTTCTCCAGCCTTTGCCACCTCCTTTTCATGTCTTATCTCTCAAACACTGACATCTCTGCACAGCTGCCCACCCAAGGCTCTCTTTGGAGTCCACAGAGAAATAAGAATTTACAGAGTGCTATTCCTCTCTTCCCAATGTAGGCACCAAAACCACATTATAAGAACTGCCTCCCCAGTTTATGAGAAGTTTATATATAAATGCTATTTAACAAGGAATCTAACTGGCATTTTTCCTTAAAATACTACTCTCATGTTAGTTTTCCTTTCCTACACTTACCTATCAGTCCCCTTTTCCTCTGAATTTTATTGATGGTCGATTTCTTAAGTGCTTTCAATGTACTACAATTATTTTCCCTTAATAGCCAGAGGGAGTTTTAAAAGAAGAGCCTACAAAAATTTTGCTTCTTGACCTGCAGAAGATTCTTTTGAGGAAAAAAAGAGAATGTTTGTTGTCAATTTTTTTTGCTGTTCATTTACTTCTTAAAGGTATAGGAATTCAATATTACTGCAAGTCTTGTGATAGGTAGCTATGCATATATTGCAGTGCTTGTTTTAAGCTGCTACTATTGTAACACACAACTGTCTCAGATCAAGAAAAAATAAGTATTTACAGTGTTTATGATCAAGAAGGAAGAAGAGAATGTCTAACAGTAGGGCCAATAAAAAATATGAATTCATTCTTAACCCCTCCTCCAAACTTAAGAATGCAGGCATACACCTTTTGTGCAGTTTTTCCTGTCTCAGTACAAGCACTGGAGAGGGGCTGGATCAGAAAGTAGCAGACTAGCAATATGCAATATTGCAAACTGCTAATTCCAGCTTGCTTGTTTACTTATTGCAGTTATTGCCAGATACGCTTTCTAGTAAGAATAGGGGAAAGATCAAAAGATAAACAACCACTATGAAATCTCTGCCCTAAAGAATCTCTGTTCTAAAGAGCAGAAGTAGTTTCACTCAGCCCATGGCCCTACTGCAATTAAAGCCCTTTGAAAACCTAGCTTAAGGATCTCTGTTTTAAAACCATTTTTAAAAGTTAAGGGCTGTAAAATTGTCTTTGGAAGAAGCTGAATATCATTCCAGCTCCTTGTCACACAGGGAGCCAGAAGAAGCCATAGCATTACTCAGGACCCTGCCCAAGGATCACCATTGGGGTATTGAGAGAGGTATGCTGATTAGAAATGAGGATAGACTGTTTCACTCTGCTCCTTTTGCTCCCTCTCTTCTCTTTGAGATGTGTTTGTTTTCTTTAGTCCCTTCAACAATGTCTGGGCTCAGGGGAGAACTAGAATAGTTAGCCCTTAAGCCTTAACTTTTTTTTATTCCCAAAATTATTTTGCTTTCTACAGAAATGTCATGTGAGATATGTAGTTATATATGTTTAAAGCTAACAGTCCCCACTGAGGCTCACAAGCTTTTACAAGATGATATAAAAGTATCACATGGCAAAGCAATGATGTGAGGTGAAAAGGTGACCACTGTCCTCTGAGACCACAGACAGATATTCTGGATCACAAGTGAAAAAAAATAGTTCAAATTTAAATCATCTCCTTCCACTGCTTTCTGTTATTTCCCCCAACAATATTACAAAATTTGTTTTTAAATGTTTTTTTAAAAAATTAGGCCTAGATTTCTTAAACCACTAGTATTACTGCATGTTGTAGTTTCATATTTAACACACAAACAACCATAATACATTGCAAGAGCCTCAATCACGTTAGTCCTCATACAGACAATTTCCTAAAGAGCTGGTTTCTTTGTTTTTAAAAATAGAAAAAAAATCAGATTTAATTTTATCCCTGAGCAGAAATCAGTCCAGAAAAAAAATGTTCCCAGCAAGCAAACAGGGATTTCATGTACAGATCTGCATGATCTCATGGTAGCTTTGAGGTACAGCTATACCTGGATTAATCTTTAATTGACATGATGAAATAGGACTGATTTGCCAAACAAAGCCAAGTGTGTGTGCTCTGAATAGAGCCAGCATACAAGAAATTGATATTGATTTCCTCTGAACTAGATTATTTTCTTCTGTTGTGATTGATTATGTGGGAAAAGCCCACAATACTTACAAAGCCATTCCCATCTTCATCAAGGAATGGGTATGCCTGGAGCAGAGCATTGACAACAATGTTATATTGCTGACTGTTCGGATACCTGTGCAAACAAGATGGAGATGGAAAAGAAATACTTGGTTTTCTAGACAGTATTAAATACTGGCATTTATATTGATCTACATTAAACTATTTCTGACTATTTCTCAGGCAATCAATTGCCTTTCACATAACAAAAGGCACAGCTTAAAAGCTTGCATGAAATCTTTCTATTGGTTTCAGAAGGTTTCAGGTCCTTAGCCTCCTTTATTTAAGCAAATATATTAGAGAAAACTTTACGTCCATTTGAAAATTTATATCTGCAGACAACAGGTAATGACCCAAAATAAATTTAATGGTGTTTACTTACAGTGATCCTTCTAGGTATTTTGTCATGTCTGCTTGTAAAAATTCAATAATCCTTATTCTCATACTGTGATCAGGGCATTTTTTTTCTGCTAATATGCATTTGACATCATAAGGGAAGTCTGGCAAAGCATAAGAACTTGTCCACTGCAATGTCTTGTGTATTGCAAAAAATGATTTCAGGTTTTTTCTGTAAAAGAAAGGATTGTATCATCACCATCACATCTTTCTTCTATGGAAATGCAGGCAGGAAGGAAAGAAAAATACATGGAAAAATGCAAGACAAGGGAAAATTATTGCTATAGAAATTCAAGGCCTACTGTCTTTGTTTCTCCATAAAGAATGCCTACAAAAGCAGCAATCGATATATACAGAGTTAAAAATTACATGTCAAATGTGGAATGTTATAACCAGCAGACAGTAGGAGGTGGTTCCTAACTGAAAGCAGAAAGCAGAACAGAAGTCAGTGGGGGCTTGCCACAGTTGCAAAAAATCTTTATCTGTCTTCATTTATAATATGTTTCCTCTCTAGTAAGACAAACAGGTTAATTGGATAAAATACTATATGTGACATTAGTTAAGGCTGTCCTCCCACAGGGGAAGGTAAGGAAGGGATATAGGCAATTATCATCAGCTCATGTCTGGAACCAAAGCAGACACAGCCCAGCAGCTCCAGCCACAAAAACACCCTGACTGCTATTTACAGAAGTCACACCTCTGCTGGGGTGAGCTTGAGGCAGGTTACCACCATGGCTGCCCAAACCCTCATTCTGAAAGAGCATAGGGCAAAGTGGGGCTCAGTGGCCTGTTATAGTCTCAACACTTTCTTGAGTAGGTTGGTCATCCTTTCTGACCTGGTTATGCTGCCACACCTCCTTGGCATCTTTTAATATATCTTGTGGGCTAACAAAAACTCTATATCCCTGATATAACTGCACCAACCCCAGGCCTACCACAAGTGGAAATGCAGTGCTGAGGAAAAAAAATATATAGTTTCAGTACTGTATTCTGCTGCTAACATCAGTAGAAGTACTCACAGCACTACCATTTCCCCACACAGAACAGGCACAAAATGGTCAAGGCTGCTGTCTTTCCAAGCTCACTAGATTTCATGGGACACAGATAGTTACCAGTGGATGCAAAGTGCAGTGAAGTTCTGTTAGTACTGTGCAGTATCAAAAGAAGGCAAAGTTATGCAGGAAGTGACAACATATCCACATAGACACATTCATGTCCTTTTTTGGTGATAAACTTATACACAAATAGGAAAATAAGACCCAACTTAGATTCTGAAATCACTGGGAAATCCCTCCTATGCAAACAAAGTGCAGATGTTCGATGCAGCATCAGTGAGCAGCTCTGCAGCCTTTAAGTTTGCATCCTGTACCTTCACCAACTTTCCTTAGGGAAGTGATGTGGCATGCAGGCTGCAAGTTACTACACAATGTTTTCAACATGCTACCATTAAAAACGGCTCAAAAGTGGACAAAAGTTCAAAATTTACAGTACTTTTCATCTAAACAGCACTGAAATTCCTTTTTTTGGCAATACCACTGAAACTGAAGAGTCATTTCAAAAAGTAGTAGGGTTTATAGCAGGTTCCATTTGGGCATACTGGACTACATTCAGTCACCTGAGAAAATAAATCTTTCTTGCAGTTGGGATGGCTAATAGTCAGGGAATCATGGCAATTCTCTCATCCATCAGTCCCTTCACACTTGCCACAGAAACAAAAATACTCTAAATTTCATTTATCTTCATTTACCTTACCTAAGACAAAATACTTCCTTGCTCTCCAAATGAGATAAAATTCTTCTGGTCTCCATAGTGCATGAGATTAAATATTTTACTAGTTTTAGCTGGACTCATCACTGTTGAGAAGTCATGTTAAACATGTGCTGTAATATTTCACAATGAAATACAAGCTTGTTTGAAAAGAGACAATTCCACATAAAGTTTATATTCAGAAAGGCTCACATGTAAACTTGTTTAACTAAAAGAACAGTTCAGTTCAGCTGTAATGCTGTTCTCCACAGTCAAGGAAGGTCTTGGCTCTATACATAAATCCCAGTGCACCTGCAGTTTTGAGATTTAGGCAAAAATATATGTAGCCTGTTTCCAGCCATACCTCTTCTAGCTAATCTGAGGCAGAAATTAGATCAAAATATTGAAACTGAAAAAAAAAAATCTCGAAATCTCAATTTACATATTTTTTTGTCTCTCAGTTCTTGAGACTTTTGATTCTACAGCTAAATCAATCCAATGGCTAGCTCAGGCAAAATTTCAGTGTCCCTCTTTCTCTGCTGTCACATGTTCTGACTTACACCCCTTTCTTACTGGTACTAGGAATCCTGCAGCAAGTTACAAGGAGCTACAGTGACAAAGTTCTTAATTATTCTTTTCCTTTAGTTTTCTCACAATTTAAGTCCCCAAAATGACTTCTCACGAGGTGAAATAAATACAATTCAGATGAAGCAAGCCAGTCTCTCTACGCTTAGCTGCAGTATGGAACTGCATCCTAAGAAGCAGCTCCTCAGCAAGGAGACAGCTGCTCACAGAGCTTTTACCACTCAGCTTTTGTAGATTGCCACTTTAACATACTCAGTCACAATCCTGTCTCACACAGCTATTTCCTTCTTTGTCTCCATTGTAACCTTACTCTGCTCGTACACAGCATGTTTACTGAGACATGAAGCTATAAAATAGCGAGGAGCCATTTGTCTCCTTCAGATGGAAAAATACCTCACAACAAACCAAATAAAAAAACCTAACATAAAAAAAACCTCACAAAGAACCCCCAAAGACCCATCTATTTGAATTACATGACCCCTGGCATCCCTAATCCCAGGGATACCTTGTTTTACTGCCAAAAAGACAGAGTTACACATTTACAGTGTCACCCAGATCATTCAGTGATGGTTTTCGATAACGCTGGAGAGAAGAGTGGGGAGTAAACACAGCATCATCTCTCCAAGTTCAGTGCCCTATGCAACATCACACAGACACACAAAGCTACCTGAATTAGCTGTAACAAGTCAGTAAAAATAATCTTGGTACCAATACAGACAACTCAATCAAGATAGCTGTGTAAAGTGCCATAGAGACCTAGAAACAAGATCATATACTAGATCATAATAAGACTTTGTTGTTTTTAAGCTTCTTGAGCTAGTAAGAAGGATCAGTTTCCTGCATCTATTTAGTTTAGGGGAAAATGTGATTTAAAAGCCAACTGAGCACGCACATAAATAGGCTGTGTGCCACAAGGTTTTCTTATGCTAAAGTCCATGAGTCAGGCACCCATTTCTATATCTTGTATCAGCTCAGATCCCATTTAGTCAGAGGACATGGCAGTTAAGAAGAAATTTGCTGACATGAGCAAAGGGCTGTTCACCTATGTGCTGAGTTTTACGTGGCTCTACCAAAAAGGGGAAGTCCCAGTAGATTCCCATTATTCACAAATGAAGGTCTAACCTTTCATTTGTCTACATCACACATCAGCAAGAGACTCTGGTCTGAAGGTTTGTAGTCTGGAAGAAAGTCCATGGAACAAATCCAAGGAAGAAACAGAGGAGAAAACAAGGAACTTGCAGATGTGAAAGAAAGGAAAAGTCTTCAGCTGTAAAAAAATGTTCCATTTCCTTAAGACATGTATATTATGCTTTCAACTTTATGACAACATTCAAGGTTGCAAAGGCTATGTCCATCAAAACGAAGAAGTTATGACAGAAGATGAAATATCAAATAAAACTTTTCTTCATCTCAATAGTCCAATAAAAAAGGGCTCTGTTTTTCTATTCACAATTCCGATATTTGTGTCTGAAAGATCCTCGTGCCATTCTATTTTAGTGCTTCATTGTAATTTCCAACTTTGGAGCACAAATACAAGGTTTCCCAGTTATCCCCTAAAGCCTGGGATTTGCAGTCTACCAAGTGCTTAATGATGTCTTATATTTTTTAGTTCTCACTGAACATAAGGGCAGGTATCCTTTAGACTGAAAAAGAAGTTACCCACAACACTGTTAACTTCAGCAAGGCTGGGATGTGGGAGCTGTGAGATGTGCCAAGGCTGCCCATTTCCCAGGGCAGCTCCCACTTGAGCTTCCCCTGCAGGAGCCTTTCTACAGAAGCCATCACATTCAGTATGAACATAAGTTACAGACAAAATTAATCTCCTTCCAAAAAAGTTTGGAAGATGCAGACACAACCTTCTTCTAGAAGGACTCCAGATTTTCTGACAGTCTGAGGAGCTGCATCACATAAGGGAAGGCTTTGCACTTTCACTTCATGAGAGGGCAGCAGCTGTGGGTTGCAGAGAGAAGAAAAAATGCTCCTTAGATTCCTTAGGGAATCTGACTGACAGCTAAATTAGGCTATTTAAAAGAAACAGGGTTTATTCGTATTCACTCCTGTAAGATGTGTTATACTGTATCCAAAGAAATTTTGAATTTTTGTTGTGTTGCTGTTACAACTTTGCTAGACCTTAATAAGGCAATGCAATTGGTATCTTCTGCAAGTCATTTGTAAGACTTGCTCATTTCTGGTATGGAAAAGACATAGCAATGTATTTCTTTTTTTCTGCAAATTTCTGTGGAAGACTCACAGCATCATGTCAATAAATTCAGCTCTGATGACCTGAAGCCCTCCAAAACCACAAGTCCAGTTGTCTTTACTTTCAATTTTTTAAAAAGTGGCAGAAATTCTAGCATACACATAAATTAAAAACCTCAATTTAAAGCATCTCCCCCAATCCCTGAATAGACCAAACCAAAAATCACAGATAAGACAAGTTTTGTGCAGATGCAATAGCAATTGAAGTGAAATTATCAGAAATCATAAAAATTAAATTGTTTTTTGGGTACTTTATACCAAAGGTATAATCCAACAAAGCATCTGACAACTGTACTTCTGAACAAAATAGACAAGTAATACTTCACTCCTACTATTGACCACTATCAAAGACTTAACATGTTTTTTTTAAGTCTGCTTTTCATGTCCATATGAGCTAATTGAAAAAAAAAATCACCACATATACCAGAAATAATTCTGATGATATCAAGAATAAGGTCTTTGCTTAGAAACCAAGCAACTCTTAAGCTATACATTAAAAAACACAGTCCTGCTAAGTTTTCACCATAGGACTATAGCTGCATTTGTGTGTATACATATGTATATAAAAGTAATATTTGCCCTCTTGTGTAAATGGAGCAAAATCATTTGAAGTAATTGACTAGGTGACAATTCTTCAGGCTAGCTGCTCTTTTTCTCTTTTCCTTTTAAATTTTTTTTTTTTAAAGCACAAGCATAAGCGTGTTTCTGATAAAGCACATCAAACAGACCAACAATACTGATGTATAAGTTATAGGCGAGTAAAAGGAAGAAGCTCTCTAAAGATCATTAGCAGAATGATACATCATAATTAAAGACACTTCAGATGCAGCAGTCAGTGCAGTTACTGCAGCCTGACCAAAAACAATGTGGGACTGGCCTAGTTAAAGACATTTCCTCCACTGAGGAAATGAATGACCCATGCAGGCCCAGGTTTAGCTGAGCACTGATCACATCTTCCAAACTCACAGCAAAAAGGGAAGTTCAAACCAGTTGAGGCTGGCTGGAAGATCTGTTATCCTGCTTGTGCTCTGAGCAAATTATTCCAAGGCATTCAGACAGTAAATCTGTTACACAGCACTCAAGAGCTACAGAACATGTTTTTATAGAAAAAATAAATGTACAAATAAACATGACCAGGACATTGCTCTTGAGGGAAAACAGCTGGACCATCATAATGGGAGCTGTGGAAAAGGGGTACATTAGGGACATCATTTTGCTAAGCAAATATGTTGAGGAAAAGCAGACAGAAGATATAAACCAACCAATAAAAGGTTGGTTTTCCACAGCAGTATCAGGTATTTACAAATAATAAAAGCCTATCTTAGCAACAAGATAAACCTCAGGCTGTCAGGAGCCATAAAACTGCTAGTACTCTAGTACAGAAAAACAGGAATATGGAAAATGTATTTATTGAATTGTCCTCTATGTCTATCTTATTGTCTTCACAGACAGGCACTGCTTCGAGATTTATATTTTTTGGAGATTAACAAAAAGATTGGCTGTTTTTACTTCTGTCATTGCTAGCAAAGCATTTTTCCATTGGACTAGCCTGCAAACCTCATCTGGTTTTATGTATGCTCAATTTCAATACAAGAAAAAAAATATTCAATTGTTTCATCCACTTATTCTTTATTTTTGTGTTTAAACAATTTTCTTTGATATTTTGGTAATATTTAATGAGAGAAAAGAGTGTATTTTAACACAGTTGTTAGGACTACCTACACAGGAAACACAGAGAAATTTGGAGCTAATTCACCAGCATTAATAATCCATAAAGGCATCCACTAATTCACTTCTAGCAAAATAATACAGTTGTTGAAGCTGTGGCTCTATGAATATTCTGGGAAAACAAAACCAAAGCCAAAAACAAACCACAAAACCCCAAAACTACACACAAATTAAAATGAACAAACGAAGAGAAAAACCCAAAACCAACAACAACAACAAAAAACCAAACAAAAAAA